AATCTAATTCTGGTCCAAAACGAGCCTCCCCTGGTCGCACTTTCGCTTCCAAACGCCCCCTCTGAATCCCTATTAAAATAAACCATGTTCTTTCCTTTCTTGCGCCCTTCCTCGCTCTGAACACCTGGCGCCACCATAGCTTTTCCCTATCTGATTCTTCCAAAACAAGCCTCCCCTGGTCGAGCTCTCGCGCATCCTGACCCCGAACACCTGCTGCCGCCACGGCTTTTCCCAATCTAATTCTGGTCCAAAACGAGCCTCCCGGCTATAGTTTTCTTCCATTTTTCTCGCGCATCCTGGCCCCGAACACCTACTGCCGCCACGGCTTTTCCCAATCTAATTCTGGTTCAAAACGAGCCTCCCCTGGTCGCACTTTCGCCGCCAAACGCTGTCTCTGAATCCCTAGAAAAAAAACAGTTTGTTTCCATTTATCTCGCTCATCTTGACCCCGACCACCTGGTGACGCCACAGCTTTTCCCAATCTAATTCTCGTCCAAAACGAGCCTCCCCTGATTGCACTTTCGCGACATCGTCAACCTTAATGTTCCCTTCAACACTGTGTCCCTGGAAAGTTATCCTTGGCACCGGCGGAGGGTAGGACACCCCGGCACCTCCGTATTCCCTTACGCGCTCCCCCTTGCTTCAACCGGGGTCGGCGGATAAGAAACACGTTCTTTTTGCAAGAGCACAGAAGAGCACACCTGGACTCATTTTGAACTCAGACTTGTTTGACGGAATCACTAAGATCCTTTGTCCTGGAACTACGGTGTGGAGGTCAAGCTAGCTTCATCCAAGGTCAGCCGGTTATGTCATTTCTGTCCATCAGTGAACAATCAATGGACTAGATGAGCATGGATCCTGCTATAGTATATGTGTATCTATATATATATATACATATGATGCTTGAACAGTTTACCATGCCATGTTCTTTTGTATCAAAGGGTCATCAGTTGTTGCGTTACTTGAGTCTACGTCTGCGAAGCTTTGCTATTTGTTAAATCATTTGCTTTGCATCCTATTCGAGCATGATTTTTGTGAACTCCGCTCAGAGCTCGGCATCCTCCAGCATGCAAAGCTCAGCGAAAAGCTACAGCGTTTCTTCTGCGCATTGAGATCGCTTGCGCACAAGAAGTTCCTCCATGGCTTTGTACAAATTCTTGGCCGGTGCGAAGGGGTGGAGTGAAGGGTGAGTCAAGAACTGCGGGGGGATGCGAGGAAAGGTTCTTCCATTCGCAGATTGAATCTAGGCTAGCTCAAGAAGCAAGAGTTCGCTTCGAAGTAGCAGCTATGCCTCACTCACTTCAGGACCAGCAAGGCTCGCAGAGTTTTGCCTATTTGTCAAACAAAACACCCACCAACGGCTTTGCATTTGCCAATGCCTCAGGTCCAGCCTTTTATCTATGGTAGACCGAGCTCGATTTTGAAGAACTGATGCATGAAGAAAGCACAGAATGACAGACAATGTTGTGGCCTGACATAGCAGGAGTTGGACCATGAGCGCAAAATGAGAGAGGCCATGGAGCGTGAGGACCGCTTGGAAGAATCTTTTGAAGACACGGTCAGATCATGTTCATCGAACTTCTCTCCAAACTTTCAACTATTAGCCTATTAGCTTCTTGTTACTAGTAGCGATGCCAGGAGCCACTACTAGCGTCCTTGCTGCTAGTAACGATGCCCTTTGTTACTAGTAGTTTCTTGTCCAAGAAGCCCGGGGCCCGGAGGTGCAAGAGTTGAAGGCCAAGCTTTCACGCATGGATCCTTCCATGCTGCCTGCAGAAGCTCAGTGGCACATCCAGACGAAAAGGCGACATGTCTGATAGTAGGAATCATGCATTGCATTGTTTGCAAGAGCTAAGGCCGGACTTGCATCCAAGCAGGGGAAGGGGCCGAAAGTGCCATGTTGGCAAGATCAAGAGTCTCTGGATGGAGGGAAATCAAAGCCTTCCGTGCGAAGGGCCGCGAAAGACGGTTTTGAGCACAGCCAGATACTCCAACCCTAAGTTTCACTGAACTTCTGACCTGTGGAGAAAAATGCTCCAACCTGCCCATGTCGAACCTAAAGAGCGAATACTTGCTCAGTGGACAAGCCGGGCTTCAGCCCAATGTTTGCATGTGTGCTGCCCTCATGGTTTGGCTCAAGAGTGAAGATGACCGCACCATCAGAGGACCTCGCACTGCAAGAGTGTCAGCTGATGGTAGCTCAAGAGTTTGAGTGAACATAAAGACTCGCAGGACGATGGTGGTGATGGTGGTGCCACAAGCAGTCATGCAGCACTCCTCAAATTCGCGTCTTCTTCTGCAAAGGCAAGATTATTCTGGACACGTGTGTTTGTTTCTTATGGTTCCTTGCCGATATTTGTCGACATGCAGGCCGGGACTTTGCCCGAAGAGGTGACTTTGTCTGAGGAGCTAGAAGGCTGGGTTAAGGACATGCGGCAGGACATTGAGATCATTGAGATGAAGAATCACTGAGGCATCATTCGAGGCCTTGCGGAAAACGGGGCTGTGCAAAGCTCAGTCTTCAAAGGAGTCCCATGCCTTGATGTTTTTGGTGCGATGAACGGAATGAATATTTGGAATGCCGCAGCATGTCATTCAAAAGTCATCACAGGCTGCTTGCTATCCTTGGGATGCTTTGAGGATACTGCTTGCTGCAACCTCAGAGCTGACTACACCACCAAGGTGCCGTGACCTGTGTTTCCTTGAGGCCAGAAAGTTGGAGAAAGTCCTGGCAGATTTTTGGCGAGAAGCGCCAGATTTGCATCTTCGTGAAGGCACAAGTCGAAAACTGGCCTCAAATCCTCAACAAAGGTGTAAACTGTAAGCTTCTTTCAACAGATTCCATCAGATTCCGTTTGAAGCTGGTGTCATGCATAATTAGCATCATTGGGAAGAAGTCAAGGTGAAACATTTGACGCAGCAGTGGAACCACTCACGCGATCATTGTTGGACCTACGTAGAGAAGGCTGGGAGGGCAGATCACATCTCCGTACATATCTTCGGTTTCAGGATGGTTCCAGGACTTTGAAGTTTTGTGGACTAAGTCTTACTTTGTTCTTAGCCTCAGCAGTGCTTTGGCATTTAAAGGCTTTCTGCCTGTTTCTGGTTGCAAACAATGCTTCCACTTCGGACGAGTGTTTGCAGGTGCTCCATGGACCACTCAGCGGCTGTGCGAACTGCTTGCCATGCCTCGGAAAGGGTACAAATCTACAAGGATGAGATGTCAATGATGCTAGCTGCTGCCACATATACAAAATCATACAACTAGAACTGTCGTAGTGTGCGAAGCGATGCGAGCTTGCAGGAAATACATGTATGCGCTTCAGCGAGCTATATTGATAACCACCACTGAAGAGGCAAGTGCCTGATGATGGTTATGCTTGTTATTTTTCTGACGTCCGTTGGCTTCTGACATCCGTTGGCTTCTGACATTAGGCATTAGCACCGTGCTCACTATCAGTCTCGCAGACACCTATGCGGAGCCATGGGCTTTGGCCGTTTTGAGTTCTCAGACATGTAAAGCAATGATGTTTGGGCGAGGTTACTTCGAAGGTGTTCGCGAGGCGTCTGACATGGAGGCTTTTGCAGCTTCATGTATATCCACTCTGACGCACACATTTCTCCAGTTCCTTGAGACCTTGAGGGCCGACCAGCAGTCGAGACAACAACGGCTGCTGCTATTGCCGCTGCAACTGTTCTTCCTCCGGATGCCCCGGAAGGCTGGATATGGATTGCATTCAAAAGCCACAAAGGAGAACAGAACAGCACTGCATGCATATAGAACTTTGAGAATTCAATAGAAACAGAATGAACATTCAGGTATATGTAATGAAATTGATCAAGAAGGATATCAAGAAGGATCCAATGGTGTTTAACAAATCCCACACGCCTAACATCCTTCGGCTGTTTCATGCGAAGGCACTGCCGCCTTAGAATCAGAGCAAGGGGAGGCAAATCAAGCGGATCAGCTTTCTTCCTGGTTCATGGGTGGTGTTTTTGCTTGCAAGTCTGTAATGTTTCGATTGTTTGCTGCCAGTCCACCCCAGCTGGGCGAAAACGCAAGCTGCCGGAGGAGCAAAACCATGCACGACATGCGCTTTAAGAAGATGTTAGTTGAACTCGCCAAACTTTGGTCTGGAAGATGCCAAGGACGCTACTAGGGGCTCCTGGCCTTACTACTAGGAGCAAGGACGCTACCAGGGGCTCCTGCCAAGGAGCTAGCAAATGGTGTGGTGGAGGAATAGGGCGCTCACGCCCGTTGTTGACAATGCCCAAATGTACAAAGGAAGAGTAGTGGTGAAGCCTGCCCCGATGCGCTTGGCTCATGGCAATTTTGCATCGTTGTGACAGTGTTGTTGGTGGGTTCCAAAATCCTAGCTTAGTGTGTAAGTCATGAATGTTTGCAGCTTTGTGCTTGCGACGTCCAGCTTGGACTTGTGTCACACACCAGGTTTGGAAGTCACATCTCAAGCAAAATAGAGAAATGGCAAAGTGGAGAATTGGAAAGGCGAAAACACTGATGGGACATGTGCAGCGCAGATGTGAGTCCAACCTCCAGCAGACCTCTCAGCGATGCTCCGAGGAAAACTGCACGCATCTTCGTTCTGAATGGTTTTCTGCATGCGGCAGCTTTGTTTTGTGGCCTTCAGTCCCACGCAATTGCTTCTTTGGCTCTAGGTTCACAGTACGCCTGAATACCTCATATTGGCCGCACCCAGAGCCGGAAAATCGCAGCAACAACAAGCACTGCTGCTACCGAGGCTGCATGCGTGCACTATCGCCTTTCAGTTTGCTAACTCTTGCTGTATGGAACTGTACGGCATTGTTGCCTGGTGATCATAATGACGAATGCTGTCATGCTGAAACTTTCCAAAACCGAAGCATTATTATGTTGATCAAAAGATGCCGTCCAAGAGCCGGGATGTTCTCAAAGAATTATGTGAAAAAGAACTATGGTTGTTCACGGACTCGATTGCTGCCAATCACTGCTTGGCCTCTTACATGAGTTGCACAACAAGCAATGATCAATGGTCATTAACGAAGGGCGCCTTCTGGTATTGTCCAAATGCCGCTATGCAGTGTGCGAAGAAGGTGTTGGACCTCGGAGTCCGCCACTGAGACTGACTGAAGACGGACATGTGGCAGACGTGCGGGTGATTGAGGCGCCATACCTGGGCTGCCTCATTTTCACGAAGGCACATAGTTGAACTATGTTTTTCTGGCTGGGGGGAGGTGGACAGTTGGGGGATGTTCTGGAGTATGATGAGTATGTTCTTGTGGGTCTTTTAGGAAACGGATTTTTCTTGAAGAACCGAACCAAAAAAAGAGATGAGAGAGATGAGGTCTTGGCTTTGGCAAGCAGCTATGCAGAGATGGGTTTCCTTGCGAACATCCCAGCATTGGGTCCATGAGAGAGACTGACAGCCAATTTTGGAATTGCAAGACCCAAGTTTTTTTGTGACATTTTGTGACAGAGTCTCTCAGGTAGAAATATTGCTTTCACTTGCCGCATTCCTCACACTTCTGGACATAGTTCAGAGCTTAGATTCTGGTTCCCAGGTTCTGTGACAGTGACAGTCACTTTCTGCGCAGGCAGTCCGAGTTGCAGCTTCAAGGAATCGCCGCTTCAGCCCCTCAAAGCATGGTAAACTGCTCGGACACTGGCAACAATCATGTCAAAATCAAGACTTGCAACTCTTGATTCTAACCCCACTCAGTCCAGCCCAAACCCCTTGCCGGAGCGTTCTTTTCATAGGTGAAGCCTCTGAGGTGCTGATGCCTTGCTTTTTGTCCTCTTCACACTCCAGTGTCCCTTGCAAGATATTAATATAATTACTTGTAAGATCTTGTAAGATTTGTGTGGAAGAGAGTGTATTGGAGCAAGGCTTTTTGTGCGGACGCAAGGAAGCCAGGCTCGGCCTGCTTCAAAGATATTCACTTCAGTGCATATTTCTTGCGACCACTGCTGAAGGTTGTTAACGGAAGGGTCAAGCAAGCGAGTAAGGGAGAAAGTCATTAAGTCATCGGCTCCTTGACCCCAACGATCGCTTCCCAACCCTTGGGTCTTTGGATGCTTTTGACAACCAATTGCACTGGAGCCGCGGATCTGGGTGTTTTGTTCATTCGGAAGTGGTTGGACGAGGTGATGTGCACGAGGGGGTATTGGGACTCAAATAGCCCAACCATCATAATTAGTTGCCAGTCCAGCACCAGCTGGAACTCGGATGAACAACCGAACAGGTACATGGGTGTGTTTCTCCATTGCCCTCCAGAGGGGCTACCTCGAGTTTGTTTTGCATTCAAGGAATTGGCCGTCAAGAATGAACAATTGATAGCTCAACAAGAGTGCCCGCTGTATTGGTTGATCAAGACAAAGGTTCCCTTGTATCGAGAAGAATCAGATATCAGATCACGACAGGTGAGAACCTGCCCATTCATCAACAATGAATTCCTTTGCTTTCACCCAGCCGGGTCGGGACACCTCTTTAGTTTTCCTGCCTTTCTCATTGCCCCCTTCTCAAGTTTGGGCACTGTTAGTTCCTTTTTTTCAGAAAAACAAGACTCGAAAGCATGCTGCAAGATAAGCATGGAGGCAACATTTTTGTTGTACAACCAGTTATATAAGAGATGTATATTATATATTGTCTATAAATGCAATAGTTGGCATTGAGATCATCTCGTGCTGCTAGATTTTTCACTGTGTTTGTTGTCGCTTGTAGTATGTGAGTATGTCAGCCCTGTAAGGAAATATGTGTTTCATGTTTGTTCTTTCGTTTTCTACCGTTTACATTCTTGCACAGGCCAAGCTGCAGAGCATTGCGCTTGGTCTTGGACTTGGCGAGTTGCCAATGTTGAGTTATTGGGATTGACAACCGCTATGCTTGTAACTTTCGGCACGCATCTCACTCCGGTTCACAGGTGCTGCCATTTTCTGTCCTCGTGAGCGTCGGAGGGAGACTTGCCACAAAGTCACAGGTTTGTATAAAACAAACGGCCATTGCTAGTAGGCGCTACTAGGTTGGGGGCCATTGCTACTGAGTTACTGGGTTGGAGGCCATTACTATATATTGCGATTACATCCCCATTGGAATTAAGTGGGTATATCAGGGGGTAGCGATTTTATAGTGCTAAAATGCTGGGACCAACCTCAAAAAATGGTAACTTATTGAGACCATAAAATCGAGATTAATATAGGAAAAGAGTCTAGAACAAGGTGTCAGCTCTATAGAATGGAGGGCCATGAGTCTGCAAAAAGCTGTGAATATTGAAGATATTGCTCTATAAAACGCTGGTCCTGAGATACTGTCGAACATGTGTTTTTAATAGGAGGTAAGAAAATTGGTCTCTATAGAACTAAGGTATAGGGTATTGAAGCCAAACATCAAAAGGTCCCTGTCAAGGAAGGCATCGACTCGCCTGTTGGAAGGACCTCAGATTTATAGTGAAGACAAAGGTCCTCATGGACAGCTATATAAGGGATTGTGATTTTATAGTGTCCAAATGTTGTCCCCAAGTCATCCACTTCCCTCCTGCTCTATAGAATTGCTGTCCCTGACATGCACAATAATGCTAACAATTCTCTATAGAATCAGCATGCTTGAAGTACCAAGATCCACCTCACCATCACTACAACACCTCTAGAGAACTGAACTCGTACAACATCATCAAGTCTCTATGAAATCGAGATACTTCCAGTTTTCTGCTTACAAGCCTCCATATTAACCAAGAAAAGCCTGTTTAAAAAATCGTGTTTCAGGGTACCCAACCACCAGGATTTTGTAGAGGAAATTCCAATCCCTATGCTATTAGGTTGGACAACAAACGAACGAACGAACAAACAAACAGCCTAACAGCTGTCGTCATTTGCAATTGTCTTTTCAGCCGATCAGCATTCCATAGCAAGGAACATGATGCGAATGACCCGGAAACCAAAGCCTCCTGGCACAGGCATCTCTTTTGATGGCTGCAAACCAGGAAACTGTTGAGATTGGAGTATGTCGGAGTATGTGTGCAAGGAACTGATAGATACGACTTTGATAACACTTGTTTTGGTGAAATGAAGCAACCTTTTGTTTAACGACCTGTAGGCGATGCTGAAGAAGGCGAAATCACAACACTTGGAGGTCGGACTCTGCAACATGCTTTTAAGATTCACAAGAAAATACATGAAATGAACTTTTGAATCTTGTGAACACTTGATACTGTTTGAGTTCATACTTGTTTATATAGTTTCTCTCCAGCTCCAGAGGCTCCGCAGAGTAAACTGGTGGCGGCCTGGCTCATTGGTCCTGAGGTGTCTCTCCGAGGACCAAGTAACGGCTGGTGAATAGTTCGAAAAAGGTTGTCGGACAGTTTTGGCCCTTTGACAACTTTACAGTTACAGCTTTGGCCCCAGGCTTTTGCTTTCTCTCTTAGAAAGCCAGGTGATCATTGGTGTATGTGCTGATCAGGTTTCTTGGCTCCAAAAAAGTGCAGGAGGATGTTGGACATATTGAGTTCCCCGAAGCGACGGTCACATCCTACTTTTACAACACAAGTCAACAGGCAGCTTGCATCACTATATTATGTATATACGGACGTATATAATATACTATATATATATACAAAGTTATGTTTGTACAAGTGCAATAAAGTACTAGGTGTTGGAGATATCAAAAGGAAGTTTGATCCGGCTTCGCTGCCTCGGACCTGTGGAGTTTCAGCAATGCGGCACTTCTTGCGGTCAACACGCTCAACCTGGTTCAAGCTGATGAAGGCAACTTCTCGGACAAAACCCACTGCCGAAGCGGACATCATGCCGGTCTTGTTGGTCAGTGTTGCCTTAGGCGGGACATTTCTTCTTGCCAGACGTCGGACAGATATGACAACAGCAAGTCGTATTTCTCCGCGGGACATGCAATATTTGTGTGAAGGAAGCAGCAACTTGTTGTGCAAAGCAAAGTCGGACGGCTATGTTTTGCAGTTCAAGAAGGATGTGTGTAAAGACAGGACTTCTCAGATGATTGATTTGGAAAGACACAGGCTTATGCAGCAGTTTTTGGCTCGCTGGTTTGCAGGTTCGAACGTGAGTGTACCAGAGATTTTGAGTGTCCCGGCCAGTGATGTTCGTGCTGTGGATGCTCACATACTTGCATCTCGCTCCAAGGCAGTTCGCAAAGAGCGTTTGGATGTTGGTTCAGATATCAGAGTAATGTTGCTCCGCAGAGAAGACTTGTTAAGCCCAGCATGCGTGTCGCTAGAGGTCACTCCCGGGTGTGGCTTGCAAGAGCTTCAAGGAATACCATCAAGACACTGCATGATGTATTCAGAAAGCCTATTGAACCCGACTCAGATGCAGAACGATCCCAATTTGCAAGTTTTTTCGGCGGATATGGCAGAACGTTCTGCCGGACTTGCAGCATCGTTGAGAGAGAAGAGCGACCAACATTGCCTTCGTACAGAGATGTTTGGAGCTGATGGAGCATGTTTTGGACTTGCAGGAAGTGCAAGAGGGGATGTAGAAAAGTTCCTTCAACAGGTTGGCCTCTCTGTGGAAGAGATTTCCAAGCTAGGTGCACAAGCGATAAGACCTGTCCTGGCACCTCTCCAAAAGCTGCAGGCGTTTGCGGCAGGTAATGCAGAGAAGTATGCCGCGGAGGTCTTCGCTGCTTTGCACAATCAAGGTGGTCAAGCTGCTGTGGATGATCTACTGGATGGCCTCAATGATGCAAAGCTCATCGAGGCTGTGGTAGGCAAGGCTAGAGCTCAACGATCGAGTCTGGAGCTCAAAAAGCCCTTCCGAGCAAAAACATGCTTAATTTGACACATTGGCCATTTCTTGATGGGTTCCAGGTCCAAACGCAATCAGGGCAGATTCCTTAGTAGACATTGACATTGGCGTCAAGTGAAAGATCGGCTGTTCAGTTTGCGAGGTGCAGCAAGAGCAGGAAGCAGTGAAGTTGCTCTCCCACAAATGGAAGTCATACCAGGTGGGTGGTTTGTTTTTTTGTTGTGTGTATATTATATATATATTATACATATCTACACACTATACACCATTAGTGCCGCGTGCCACTACTAGTTTTGAAATAAGCTGACGGACAGTCAGGTTGAAGAAGCCAAGCGAGCCAGCCTTAAAACGACAAGGCAAAAGAAAACCTACACTGCTTCCTCGCATGGTCACTACAAGATGATCATAGAATAGATGGTCCATTTTTAGTGGTACACTTTGCTAATTACCCACCTTTGGTCCACAAGGAGACACGTGTTTTGTGCCTTGGGCCAAGGCTGGTTACTGCGCTTTCTTCTCGGGCGTGCATCCTTCCAGGCAAAAGTGCTTCTCAACTTCTATCAGGACTTCGCGCAGCTAGTTTGACTCGGATGTAGAATGATGCATGTAACAGTATGTAGTAATGGATTCAGATAGTCTTCAAGCCCCAAATGCTCCTTATACAAGAGTGTCAACATGCTTTGCTTTGGTGCTGCATGCTCAATGTCTACGACGCCAAGTCCAGCTCGTAGGAATCTCAAGGACAGACCGGACCTTGGCTGGGGCCTTCATAAGCGTAGTGAACGATCAGAACGCAAAGACGGTCAAGTGACTGTGGAATCCACACAGAGATACACAGGTTTGCAGTCTGTCCTATTCCACACCTCCCTACTAAGGGCAGAACAAAGGTTTCAGCGTGCATCCGAGCTGCTTCCAAAAGAAGGCTGCATGATACCAGTCTTTTGCATTAATGTAGGGAATTATATTATAAATAATGATATTTATAAATAATATGACGAAGGACAGAAGGACTCTCAGCACTGCAAACTTCGCCTTAGTTTCCATTAGTTACTTTCACAGGTTGGACTTCTGGATGGTGGGCTCTGATCTCAGTTTTTTCACCACAAATTGAAAAGCGGTTCTATTGCCGGCCAGCTTGCGGCGATCGACCGCCACATGCTTTTGAGCATACACTTGAGATCTCTTGAGATTCCTTTAGTAGGAAGGAGTGCCTTTTGCCGACCAAGTGCAAGAACAAAAAGCAAGTATTGGATTATATAGAGATTCCAAGTGTGCTTTTCTCGAAATTTGAAATGCTCTTTGGATTTCTGAGGTTAGAGCTACGCTTGTGGGCTCAGGGCTTGGTCACAAGAGCATTAGACTGTCAATATTTCATACTAGAGTCAGCACTACTTTTGGAGCTTTAGTTTCAATGCCTGAGGGATTGAACTCAACCTCGACGAGATAGCAAGGAGCAGCGCAGAGCTGGAGACCTTGGTCGCCAAATACAAAGAGGCATTGTGAGATCCGAAATGAGAAGCGTCGAGACGTAATACACAGTATGTTGACTTATTTTGTCGCTGCTAGAATGCGTGATAGAGTGGCAGGTCTCACCAAGGCCATCATAGGAGCAAAAAAGGATGCTTGCAAACGCAAACTCCAGGAGGTCAGCATTGAACGAAACTGTATTGGAAACAAGGGTTTTGTTTGAAAATTGTTGTTGCAGCGGCATTGTCACGCAATTTTGCTGCCGTTTTCTAGATAGTCCCGGCATGTCCCGCTTGCGTGCTGCAAATCCTCTAGCCAGACTCATGCAGATGTGATAGTTTAATATGGTTCAGCGCAGAAAGCAGCTTGTGCCAAGTCTGAAGAAGTGCCGATCAAGCTTGTGCAAGGTGCGCCACGGTCTTGCCCGGCAGGATCCATCAAGTTGCGAGGGATCCTCGCCTCATTTTTTATGCACAGACTGTACATGTGAGCACCCATGTGACCAAACACCTTCCATACCTTCTTACCAGCTGCTTTCATGCAATCGCCAAATTGCTTGCCTTCCTGTGGCACCAGAGTCACGGGGGTTGGGAAAGTGCGCATGCACGAAACAATGTGATCTTGGGAGCTGTTTGAATGCTGTGATGTTAATCGAGTGCGGACCTAGCAACTGCTCGGTCCGAAAGAGTTCTTTGTGCAAAAATCGCCAGTTTGCTGATGCGCAAGCAGGCAAGCTCGACCAGCTCGCTGAGGTTTTTTGGACTGGTGATTACAAGGGTTTTGGTTTGCGTGCAACAACCCACATTGCTCGAGGGAAGCTGATAGCAGAGTATTTAGGAGAGATTGTACCTCAATCATCGGTCCAGAACTGGCGCTACATTATGGCGTTGCCTCAGGGGTTTGCCATTCATGCTTCAATGGCAGGAGGTCCAGCGCGGTTCATCAATCATTCCTGCGATCCCAACTGCAATGCTCAACGCTGGCTAGTGGAAGGGCGCTGGCATGTTGGTATTTTCTCACATCAGGATATAAAACCACAGGAGGAGATCACATTTAGCTACTCAAACGGGCGAAGTCGTGGCAGTGATCCATGTCATTGCGGTTCTTCTCTTTGCACTGGACGCATCGCGAATCCACCCCGAAAATACAAAAAGTTCCAGGAGGCACCGGACGCAGATGTAGTCCTCCAGGAAGTCCCAGAACAGGTGGAAGCCTACGAAGTAGAAAGTGCATCAGAAGAATCTGAAGAAGTGGAAGCGGATGATTGGATCGTAGAGGTCAAGGAGAACCAAGCTGTGGAAGTGCTGGAACCTGATGATAGGCGGGATGAGCCTGCAAAGGAGTGCGAAGGAGGTGTAGAGGAAGTAGCATGTGTGACCGCTTCAATTGCAGCTGAATGCACCGTGCAAGATGAGGGGTCAATGACACTACAAGACTTGCTTAGGACTTCATGTAATACAGCTGCTCGCACAACTAGAGCAGCTGAGCAAGAAAATCTAGTCCAATGTGAAGGAGCTGGCCCAGATCGGAAAACGTTCTGCGAAACTTTCTTTGCAGGTTCCAGGTCATGGCATCAGGCTCCTATTGAGGCAAAGCAAATTATGCAGCAACAGAACCTTCCTGAAGAGTCCGAGCAAATCGCAGCCTTGAGTTTGGGCCTCTATTTGCCATCAGCCTTGTGCCTTTCCCGAGGGCTTCAAATTGAGAATTCAAAGTGCTAAACGACACCTGCGGGCATTTGTCGGAAAAGGGCTGCTTGGCTTGTTGAGAACCAGTGCCGAAGACATCAGAGAGATTCAGAGAGCATTTCCCAACTATTCTCGGATCCTGGCTCAAATCTCAAGAATTCATAGCACTCTAAATCCATGTAAAAGTTCCGTGCCTGCGTTGCGGCAGAGTCGGGGTCACAACTCCCAAATTTGTCACTAGGGTCAAACGTCTGAGGCGCGATGAGTCCAAATCACCAGGCACATGCCCTACTTGTTTAGCTTCGTTTTTGGGGTTGAGGTCAGCAGAGTTCGCACTGCACTTTATGGCATTTAAGTCTTATGCATGCCATGGCAAGCATCGACCAGGCTCTGTGTGATCCCAAGACGTGTGCTTTGAGATGACGATACCTCCCATAGCCAAACTTGCATGGCGGGGTGGTGTCACTTCTGCACAGAGAACAATGGTCCTGTTAAGTCACACCAAATTGTCAAGTAGTAATGGGCAAAGTTGTGTTTATGAGAAGCACGATAAGAAGCATGACTGACCGCATCATGAACGGTGTGCACCCTGACCGCCGGTCCAAGACCTTGGGTTGAATTCGCCTCGAAATTCATGTATGTGTGAACCCTGCCAGAAAGAGGGTCAACTCAAAAAGGAAAATGCTCGAAAAGGAACATGCTCAAAAAGCATTGTTGGAAAAGAGATCAAAAGAGCATAAAAGAGCTATCACTGCAGTGGCCTGATGTGGCCTACTCCCATGGATGCCGGTGTGCTTCCCTGACAGAGTTTGGTTGCGAAAAGAGTTGCTATCTTTTTGGTGGTATGAAGCCCGATGAATGGCCAATGCAAGGGGCATTGGCAACCAAATAACGGAGGGAACTGAACAACCAAAACGCGTGCAGCAAAGAGGTTTGTCCAGCTATCAACTGTGCTGCAGCTAGCACCAGATCTCGTTCAAGCCGCTGTTGATGCAATGCAACAGGCGACTCTACGTTTCAAAGGGGGCCAGGTCTTGCGGTTGCACATGTAATTGATTTCGCGTTTGGAGCATGGGAGAGTGCCAGATTCGACACACGACAACGAAAAAGTTGCAAAGGCTATGGTTGTATACTAATGTATACTAATGTCATCAAACGTCCAAATCCCTTGGCGGAAGGGGTGTGTTGCCGTGGCTGGAAACGACATGCTGTAGTAGTTGACTTCAATGATAGTGCAGACTAGTTCGGTGCACGGGAAGGCCAGAGGAGCATGTTCTTTGCCTTGTGCCGAGGCCAGTTCGCTGCATAAGGCACCTTCTTTGCCTTCAACGTTGCTAAACTCAGCATGAGCTGTGAATGACAAGGGCCTTTAAGACTGTAAACTCGAGAAGAGGTTGCTCAACAAATTTGCATACTTTGCAATCTCATTATAGAAACATGATGAAACATGTAACATGCAACAGTAGCTGCCAAATGAGATTGCAGACAAGGTGGGGCTCACGGTCGGCCAAAGAGCCACTTGGCAGATCTAAGCCACAAAGTGCTTGAGACAATACTTTGAATTATGCAGGCTGTCAGGTCGCCCTTCGTCAGTTTGGCACTTAGATGATCTTAGCTTGTTTGGGCTTGGTTATTTGACCCACTCGCCTGGCATGCTACTAGTGAAATCCAAATGCTATGACCTGAAACGGGCTCGAAAGGCTACCAAGCTCAGCCGATCCCTTGGCCGCACAAGGCGCCATTCAATCAAACATCAAGAGCCATGGCTTTGATCAAGGCAATGGCTCTGGATTCTTTGGTGAGTCTTGCTCTCAAGGCCAAGTGCACCATCTCTGGAAGCCTGGACATCATATGACCTGCATAGCACAGGCACTGGTGCATCAAGCCTTTTTTGATTCCTTCAGCCAGCTATTGAAAGTCTGAAAGCAGGTTTCAGCTGTGCAAGCGTCTGAATCTTATTTAACCTTGAACTGTGAGATACGTGTCGACCTGTTTTTTTTCTCCAGAGAAATTGCCAGGGAGCGTCGAGGCCAGCTTCCAGGCTGTGATTTTGAAAAACTATTTGCGACTGGTGTTCATGTTTATCCGTAGGATGGAGAGCAAGAGCAGGCGTAGGTGTTCGTTTTGCAGGGGCAAATTAGTGGATGGACTGGCTCCTTCCACTACTACTGTAAACAAGAAAGTGGAGCAGCTTGAGGCGAAATGGTGGCGTTTCAATTAGGGGAAGCCACTGGGAGCATTTAGTGCAGTAGAGCTGTGGCTGCTGATTCAGCATGATTCAGCTGCGTTTGTTGCAGGCAGAAGAAGAAGACTCGCTTCAGCCTATGCCTGTTTCACCCAAGGCACGCATGCAGCGTGTTGACCCTTCTCTATGTCAAATGTGAGAAGGATGATGATCATTGGCAGAGAAAAGTTTGCAATGACCTTGGGAAGGACACGCGCCGCCAGTCAATCATGCTGGCGCCAGCCCTCAAGGTCACGGATCAAACTTTCAGACAGAAAAGCATTCAAAGACATTTAGCTAGTAACGATGCGCTTGTTACTAGCAGCGATGCCCTTGTTACTAGTAGCGATGCGCTTGTTACTAGCAGCGATGCCCTTGTTACTAGTAGCGATGCCCGTTACTAGTACCGATGCCCTTGTTACTAGTAGCGATGCCCTTGTTATTATAGTAGCGATGCCCTTGTTACTAGTAGCGATGATGCCCGTATTACTAGTAGCGGTGCTTTTGTTACTAGTAGCGATGCCCTTGTTACTAGTAACGATGCCCTTGATACTAGTAGCGATGCCCTTGCTACTAGTAGCGATGCCTTGTTACTGGTAGCGATGCCCTTATTTCTAGTAGGGATGCCCTTGCTACTAATTAGTAGCGGTGCCCTTGTTACTAGTAGCGATGCCCTTGTTACTAGTAGCGATGCCCTTGTTACTAGTAGCGATGCGCTTGTTACTAGCAGTGATGCCCTTGTTACTAGTAGCGATGCCCTTGTTACTAGTAGCGGATGCCTTTGTTACTAGTAGTTACTAGTAGCGATGCGCTTGTTACTAGTAGCGATGCGCTTGTTACTAGCAGCGATGCCCTTGTTACTAGTGGCGATGCCCTTGCTACTAGTAGCGATGCCTTGTTTCTAGTAGCGATGCCCTTATCTCTAGTAGGGATGCCGTTGCTACTAATTAGTAGCGGTGCCCTTGTTACTAGTAGCGATGCCCTTGTTAACCGTAGCCATGCCCTTGTTACTAGTAGCGATGCCCTTGTTACTAGTAGCGATGCGCTTGTTACTAGCAGAGATGCCCTTGTTACTAGTAGCGATGCCCTTGCTGCTAGTAGCTTACAAGCATTATGACTACAAGCAATATGACAGCAGATGAAGTGAGCATGATGGCACGATCTTCCTGACTTTGCTTTGCTCATGGTGAGGACATTTTGAGCCCAGAAGATGCCACGAGATCCTTTGAGACGGTAGAATCAGTCTTGCAGGAGCTGGCAGTATGGTCGATGCCACTCTTATGTGGCTTGCTGAAAGTCTTTCCTTTTCAAATGAGTTCCCTTCACCATCTTCACTGAAGGTACATGTCATGACATCACACGCCACACCATTCTACACCTCACCACATCACACGTCATCACGGTTGATCACACAACAAGTCATCACCCATGCTCATTACACCCAACACATTTCATTTTTCAAATATAAACTTCCGCTCGCCTGCTTTGCGTCATCAGAAACCGCTGTTGGAATTTGAATTGTTCAGTTGTTTTGTTTTTCAAGGGAACTGCTCAATTTGCACCCCACTGCGCTGGACCCCACAAGTGTTGAGAAGCTTTTGGTTGGTGATATTGTTCAAAATTGTTCAGAGACTTTTGCCTTTAGTAGGTGTGCGCGCGCTAAAGAGCAGCATAGCCACCCACGTGTTTCATCACTGTGCGAGGCGTTATATACACCATTTCACAGGATAGCCTAGAGGGGCTGTATCGTTGTGTATCTTGCATGTCAGCGTCGATTCACCTTCTACACAGATCCGAGCGTTTAGCGGGGGCAGAGTGACCTTTGCAGGAAAAGGCATCATGTATGACGCTTCGACGGGCCAACTGGCTGTGAACAGGGAGAAATGTGTGTGTGTGTGTGTGTCGCCCTCCGTTTCCAGGAGTTTAAACCCGATTTGTTTGCACGGGCGTGTGGCCCTCTTGTCCTACCACACGCAATGAAGCTGTGGACAAGAGGGGGATGCAGAGCCTGATCAGCTCTGCGTACCTGCAAAACAACTGTTGTTCACGCTGTCTACTTTCTTGGTTTGTTTCCATGGTCGTTCTCATGATAGATCCCAAAACAGGTTTCCCTCGCTACGTATTCAGTAGCTAGCGTCCGCAGTCATGCAAACCTTTTTGTTAAACACCTTCACTTCCACTGACCCAGCCGCCTTGCCGTTTGCGCCCACTTTTCGTGGGAATTGAGTTAGTTAACTGCAAACCCATTGTCAAAGTGTGTGCCGCTCTGTCGTCCCACTGGGTGCAGAGTGTGATCCTCTCGCAAGAGAGGCGCCGAAGCTATCGTGAATCACATATTGACTCAGCGTTTTCTGCACACGTTGGATTATCACTTTTGGACTGAATGTTTCACCCCAAGAATCTCCTGCTACAACACTGCCAAGTTTACGGAGATTTGATACCGCCGGGTTTATGGAGTCTTTTCGTTTCGGAGCTTTCGCGGTTCCCTCTACCACCCCTCTAATTAGGGTAACAGAGGGAAATGGTACTCGACACGCTTGTGCGTCGGTGCCTTTCCCTCCTAGTCTAATTTACCCGGGCGGTTTAAGACTAAAGTCCCGCTCCCTAACTATTGCAAATTAGTTTCCGCTAAGTAATCGGTAACTCTAGAGTGCTAAGTATTCAGACACACACATGGACATACACCCCCTCCCTGCCCCCCGCTTTCTTTCTTACGTTTTCGTCGTTTCTTGGGCTTTCTTTCAGGCTTTTTAGGTGGTTCTTGAGGCTCATTTCCCTGCCCCAGTCAAGGACTAAGTACTCACCGTTT